CTTCTCGCTGTAGTGGCTTCTTTGTTTGCAGAGCACAGGCTCTAGAATAAGGGCTCAGCATTGTGGTACACAGGCTTAGCTGCTCCTCGTCACGTGGGATCTTCCCGGACTAGGGATTGAACTCGTGGTCTCCTGCGTTGGCAGGCAGATTCTTGACCATTAGATCACCAGGGAAGTCTGACTTTCAGGGTCTTAATGACCCATCCATGTAGGGGGAGAGATTTTCTGACCCAGAAGACTACAGCTCCACTCACAGATCCTCCCTCTTGTCACTCATCCCACAAGAGCATTCAGTTACATGTTCAGTGTCTTCATTTGCTACCAGAAGTTCCTCTCCAAGGAGGCAGGGGCTGGTCACTTCTGTGGCCCCAAGGACTGCAAGACCTGGCACACAGTAGGTTCTCAATAAACACACCTTGTGACCCAGCTTACATAGACTCCATCTCCACTCTGCTCATTCAGAGTTCCTTGCATTTGACCTCCGTTGGCATCTCCACCCCAAATAGGTAGACAGAGTGATGGAGAAGAAGCAGCTCAAGACACACGCCAGAGTGATTATCCTTTTAATTTACTTTAACCATTGAGAACCTTCTTTTCTCTCTTTGCCCAAACTATCATTGTTTAGGGATCAGGTAGGAAACGAGACATTGTAGAGAATGTTTTAACTGGGTCCAGAGGACAACCCAATACCTTCATCCCAGCATTCTGTCTGTCTGGTCTGATCTGTCTTTTTTCTTTAGAATTAAAAATGTATTTTACAAATTCTTGGTTTTTTTTCTAGTTCTACTTGAATATATACATAAAATCATTATGAAATTAGCTATCCATTCTTCTTAAAGTGCAAATATGATTTTCCAGGGATTTTCTTTTTATCAGTGTGGTACCTATGATATTTCTAAACTCCATCAAAAGATTTCCCCCTCTTTAAGTCTTATTTTGAGATAGGTTAATGTGCTACCCAAAAGTATACTTTTTTCCTGTCCCTGAAAGTTTCTGGTTCTTTCTAGCTTTCACAGATGCAATCATCCTAACACTCTTAATATCCTGTTTTCTAATAATTATGGATGTGAATTAATGTTAAAAAGAAGAACAAATAATGATTCACTCTGCTTAATTGATTGTCCACGCGTATGGGTGGGTCATTATTGCAACACAGAATATCTACACTCCAGATCCCTAGAAGAAAACAAAATCTTAAACTCTTTGTTTTTGAATTATACATCTGATCTGGAGTAATGATCTTTATGGAAGACTCTCTGAAAAGGATGCAATCTGTCCTTTTCTCTAGATTCCTGGTCTGCTGACAGACCTTGGAGATTTCCAGAACCTGGCAATCATGCAAGAAAAAGGCTCAACGAGGTGTTGGAGAGGACTGGAGGGAAATTGAGGACTTGATGGTACTTTTCACAGGTTTGTATCTGTTGCCTAAGACAGGGCGGGAGGAGTATCTTCTGAAGATTCCTTTCAGTCTGTTTTACCTTGGAAAATCCCACACACTGTTGGGTAAGCCTTCTAAAGCCACAGCAACAAAGTAACATAAGCATTTTAAAAGCCAGAGAAGTATGCCCATGTTCATAGCAGCATTGTTCACAATAGCCAAAAGGTGGAAATGACCCATATGTCCATTGATGAATGGATAAACAAAATGTGGTCTATTCATAAAATGGCATATTATTTAGCCCTAAAAAATAAGGAAATTCTGACACCTGCTACAACATGGATGACCTCAAGAACATTATATTCAATGAAGTAAGTCAGACATAAGAATATAAGTGGGGAAAAAAAAGACAAATACTGTATGATTCCACTTATATGAGATCCCTAAAGAAGTCAAATCCATAGAGACAGAAAGTAGATGGTAGGGGCAGGGTGCTGGAGGAGGGGATGGGGAGTGAGTGTTTAATGGGGACAGTGTTCCAGTTTGGCAAGATGAAGAAGTTCTGGAGACGGATGGTGGGGATGGTTGCACAACAATTGACTGTACTTAGTGTCACCGAGCTGTGCATTTTAAACAGTTAATATGGTAAACTTTATGTTAATTTTATCACAATCAAAGAAATTGAAGGGGCAAAAAGCCAGAGCTGAGTTGTACTGGGTAGACAAGAGTGTAGCTTCAAAAAAACAGTCATTTCTTGTCATCTGTGACCAGGACAGGACAATGCATTCCTTGGTGCCAAAAGAATTGATGCTTTCAGACTGCAGTGCTGGAGAAGACTCTTCAGAGTTTTTTGGACAGCAAGGAGATCAAACCAGTCCATCCTAAAGGAGATCAACCCTGAATATTCATTGGAAGGACTGACGCTGAAGCTGAAGCTCCAGTACTTTGGCTGCCTGATGTGAAGAGCTGACTCATTGGAAAAGACCCTGATGCTGGGAAAGATTGAGGGCAGGAGAAAGGGGTGACAGAGGATGAGATGGTTGGATGGCATCACTAACTGAATTTGAGCACACTCTGGGAGATAGTGGAGGACAGGGAAGGCTGGCATGCTGCAGCCCATGAGGCTGCAAGGAGTCAGACACGATTTGATGACTAACAGAGGACCCCACCACAGGGTTACGAACCAGGAGCAAACACTGCTTCCATATGCCAGGAACCGGTACCTGGCACAGGGCTCAGCTTCTCAGCTGCAACCTTATACGCAAAGCCACGCCTTCTCTGGTGATGAAACCCCCAGGGTAGAAAAACAAGCCTTGTTCTCCAAAGCACAAGATTAAAAACAAAACCTACTCAAAACATCATGGACATTTTTGCAGATAATACCATCCTGGATATTTTGACTAAAATGGGTACAGAAATAAATCCACAGAGGAATGTCTTAAATTATATCTCAAGACGTATGAGTATGGAGCAAAAATAAGAAACTGATTTTGGAGAACGGAGCATTGGGATAAAAGTGTTCACTGTTTTCCCCCAATGCCCCAGCTACTAGTAAGCTCCCCACCTCTAAACAGAGCAGGCACCCCTGCCCCCCAAAAACACACACAGAGATGCTATTTTTGTATCTCAGATGTGGTGCAAACTCCAGCCATCTTTTATTAGCTGTGTGGCCTTAGGCAGGTTAAAAACCTCTCTGGTCTCTAAAACAAGGATAACAGAATTCCCGTTGCAGCTGTGTGTCCTTGTAACATGGTAGGGCCTACACGGCCTCTCCTCTCCTCACCATCAAAGAAGGTAACCCCCTTACCTCCAAATTCACCAGGATATTCACTCCCACCCAGATTATTCCACCCCACCACCACCTCAGAAATCTCCCCGTTCTTCTGTGAAATTCCAAACCCACGGGTGGTCCTCTACTTCCGCCAAGACTTTGCCCCAGTTTTGATCTTTCTTCTTGATCACAGCTTGGCTTCTCTGTGTCCCTGACCTACCGACGTTCTCAAGATTCTTCCACGACATAACAACCATTGTTCCCTCCTCCATCCACAAACCACCAGATTCTCCCTCCCCTCACTGGCCAAACTCTCAAAAAAGAGGTATCTGCTCTCTTACCTCTTGTTTTCTCACATTCAATATCTCCATCCATGATGATGCCTTCCTGGAACTTGAAGGACCCCTCCCTGCTGAGTCTATGGATTCCACTCAGGTCTGACTTCTCCATAGCTGTGTGGCTTCTCCATAGCTTTGGGCTCAGGTGAGAAAACCCTCCTTTCTCCCTTCCCTTATCTTTTGTGATAAAATCGTTAAGCCACCCACTCACTTTCTCCTGCCTCCATCTCACATTTGCTAATTCTTCCCAGGGAATTTCACAGCATGTGAAAGAGTCAATAAAACAATAAACAATTAACAAGTTGGTGTTGGGAACTAGCTTTCTTGGATATCAAAACATTATAAAACTACATGGATTAGAACAGTAATAACTTCAGCACGTGGAAAGGCAGACATACTTATAGAAACTCAGAAACAGACCCTCAAATCAATGATGAAGGGGTAAATTTCTGCAATAAATGGCCTTGAGCCCCCAACTAATTATTTGGGGGAAAATGGATACCCTTGACAAATTTTTTAATGATAATAATTAAAGTTAAGAGAAAACTTGGAGGAAAAACACTTTCATTTTATGGATAGAAAGGGACTTTCTAAGCATAAAATAATATGAGATGCATGTAAAAACTCAGGTCTGAACTCCATAAACATTTTAAGCTTCTCTGGCAACGGACAGCCAGAGTATTTTCATCACTGAACAAAAACATCTGAAAATGTAGTTGGCAAAAAGTTAACAGTCTTTGCTACGAAAACCACACGCAGATTAATATTTCAAAAACCACTAAGGCACTGAAAGACAAATGGACAAAGGATATGAACAGGAAGAAAAAACCTAAATGATAAATAAACATGTTTTAAAAGGCTCAACCCTGATAGCAATCAAAGAAATGCAAATAGAAACAATGACAACACAGCAGCTCCTCCCTCCAGTAAATTATGAAAGATTTTTCAAAAAACACTCCAAGCTAGCCAAGGTGTTCCCTCTCAGCCAGCGCTAGGAGGAGTGCCCATTGGTACAACATTTCCGGAAAGCCATTTGGCAATCAATATCAAGAAACTTTGACCCAGAAATTTCACTCTGGAAAACCAAAACCTGAAGGGGGGAAAAAAATGCTCAGTAAAGCTTCCACACCAAAATGTTCAACCCTCTTTGTGAAAACTAGAAATAATTTAAATACCCAATGACAGGGAAAGTTAACTAAATCCAGACACAACAGAGCCACTAGCAGGAAATACCCCCAGTAATCGTGGAATAAGGATGGCTGCTTTGTTTTTATCCTTTACACATTCCTTTTTTCAAATTCATACCATGAGCAATCTTAAATCAGACAAGAAACACATTTCTTTTCTTCAACAGCAAAATCCATACTCATCTGCTCTGTCAAGCAAGAGGAACATTCAACCAGCTAGCTCAGGTGTTGGCAAAATCGGGCCCACCACTTGGTTTTGTAAATAAAGTTTTATTGAAACACAGCCATGCCCGTATATTTATTGCCCATTGTTGCCAGGTGGCTGCTTCCCCAGCCCAATAGCAGGGTTGAGTAGTTGCAATAGAGACTGTATAGACTGCAAAGTTTAAAGTTTATTTATTATCTGAGCCTTTGCAAAACAAGATTTGTCACCACCTGAACTAGTGAACATTTCCAGCATCTTTTTAATGAATCAAGTCATATGAAATGGTTTAGAATCCAGAGAACTCTGACATACCTTTCTGGCAGTGGCTGTGTGTCCAGCACCGCTCCACAAATTGTCCGTTGATGACAGTGGCAGGGCAGTTGGTCTTGCCCTTTGCAGTGCCTGGACAAATGTCCCCACACTCCTCATTGTCATCTTTGTTCAGCACGATGTAATTATCCTCCACGGAATCCAGGATGCGAGACCAGTCGATGGTGGCCAGGTAGCAGAGTTCATTGTTCTTCTCGATGCGGACGGAACCCCGGGTGATGTTCATCAGGTTGTAGAGGCCAAGTTCCTTCAGATGAACCATCTCAAAGATGACCAATGCATAGTTAAAGAAGAGGCGCGAGCCTCGGATGACCGTGAGGTTGGGGAACAAGTCCTTCAGGCTCTCCAGTCCATAGACCCGGAAGAGCAGCAAGTAATCAGTGATCATGATGAGTTTGGGGAAACTGAGGTCTCGGAAGTCCTCAGGTCTTGTTTTGAACATCAACAGAATCTGCAAATGTCCTTCAATGACCGAGCAGTTGGCCAGCTCATGCAGCCGGGTGAGATTATTCCGGATATCCATACCGGGGCACACTAGAAGTGCAAACAAGCAGAGAGCAAGACAGGTGAGCAAACATCCCATGGATGGTTTATAAGAATGAGTGGCAGGGCAGCCACGTGGCCATGTGACCTGGGACCCATGCCTGCTCAGAAGGGCCTTGCCCTGGGCTTAATGTTCTTTCATCCATCTTGAAATCCTTAATCATTTTTGGGTGAGGGGGTCCCAAGATTTCATTCTGCCCTGAACCCCATGGTTTCTATAGCCAGCCCCCATCAGTGGGTTTCTCCGTAAAGTGTCCATGCCTAAGTAATTACTCTCAAAAGGCAAAAAACCTGAATAATAATAATTCCTTTGGCAGTACCTGTTTAGAAACCTTAAAACCATCACATCAAATATGATGCAATGGAGACACTGGGATTACAGGGGGTTGAGTAATGCAGCAGGTGCAGAAGGGGAAAGGGGAGCCATCCCCAGTGAGTCAATGTGAAACATCTTCAGGAAATGGATTTATGGGGATAAAGGTGCCCACATCAGAAATGGGGCAAGGAGACCTGGCTGTGTTTTGTCAATTCTCTCATTTTCCTGACTCTCCTTCCCAACCCGCCCTTCTGGCAGGCAGCCACAGTTTAATTACCTTTTATCCAAGTGTGTCAAGGGCTTCCCAGAGTCTGATCTCCCCAGTACAAACACCTGCACACCTATTCTCCTGCAGTGGGTCTCTCCCTTGCTCTGACATCCTCTATGGCTCCCCTGCACTTTCCCTCTCACAGCTCTCAAGGTTCTGCCCCTCCATCCCCTGCACCATGTAAAACATGGCCTGTCCACTACTCTCCAATTACAAGAGGGTCTTCCAAACCCCACCCCGCCCATAACATGACCTATGAAGAGAAGGGAATGAAATAATGCAGACACCCAAGCAGTGACTAGCACACAGTCGGTGCTCAATTAATGTCAGCTATTTTGTTGTTGTTTATTTCTCCCAAAGACATCACGGTGTCACCTCTAGGCTCTGTGCTTTCATCCCCCTAGACCAGGGCGGGCAAATATTTTCTATAAAGGTTCAGATAGTAAATACATTCTGCTTTGCGGTCAGTCTCTGTTTAGACTATTCCACTCTGTCGTTACAGCTCAAAAGCAGCCCAGAGACCACTAGCGGCTATGGCTGTGTTCCAATAAACCTTTATTATAAAAGCAGGCTGTGGGCTGGTGTTTTCCCTTGAGATGGTAGTCTGGTGACCCCTGCCTTACTCTGACAAAGTCCAACGGCACTTCTGCAACAATAGAGATGTTCTACATATGTGCTGGTCATATGGAAGCCACCGGCCATTCGTGGTTGTCAAGCACTTGAAATGTGGCTTATATAAGACTGAGGAGCTGGGTATTTGATTTCACTTTAGTTAGTATTAATGGAAATAGACATGTGCAGCAAGTGGCCACTGTTCTGAATACAGTAGCTTGAGTCCCTTTGACTGTCAAAGTTCTTTACACCTTAGCTCCCCACTTTGAAATCCAGCTCATCATCCTTCAAGATCTAGTTCAGAGGCCACCTCCTCCAGGAAGGCTTCTCTGATTTCCTTTCCTCCATATACTTATTTAGATCTTTTCCTCCTCCTGTGTTTCTTATACTGGAGTTAACATTCATCAGATGTGAACTCCTTAGACAGCCTCTCCTTGCCAAAACACACACACTCACTCAGTCAGAGGTTGGGAGGCACCATCGAGAGGACTAGGATGTCAGTTCCAACACCACACACTCATGCCACCCAAGCCTTGTCTAAGGTTCCCAGCTTCAGTCACATCAACAGCATCTACACACAGAGGTCTGTCCAGACAGGTACCGCACCTTGATCTCTCCCAACAGGCTCCATTTGCACCCCACAGATGAGAAAACTCTGAGAGGCAAAGCCAGTCAGCCAAGGACATATGACCTACCAGTAACACTCAAGGTTGCCAGATTTAGCAAATAAAAATGAAGGACAGGGCTTCCCTGGTGGCTCAGTGGTAAAGAGTCCACCATCTAATGCAGGAGACACAGGTTCCATCCCTGGTACAGAATGATCCCACATGCCTTGGAGCAGCTAAGCCCCCATACATCACAACTATTGAGCCTGTGCTCTAGAGCCCAGGAGCTGCAACTACTGAAGCCCAAGCACCCTAGAGCCTGTGACCTGCAACAAGAGAAGCCACTGGGATGAGAAGCCCTTGAACTGCAACTAGAGAGTAGCCCCCACTCACTGCAACTGGAGAAAACCCCGAGCAGGAATGAAGATCCAGCACAGTCATAAATTAGTTAATTAAAAATTTAGAAAAAAATGCAGAAAGCCCAGTTAAATTTGAATTTCAGATAAGCAAGGAGTACTTTTTAGGTAAGTCTGCAATGTTTGGGACATACTTATCCTTAAAAATTACTCATTGTTTATAGTAAATTCAAATTTAACTTGGTGTCCTGTACTATATCTGGCAGTGTACTTAGACTTGGTCACAGGTCTGGGCTTCTCAAGCCTGAGCCTCATAACTCTGTTACCTGCACACACACACACACACACACACACACACACACACACATACACGCACACTTGTGAAATTGGTGCAGATACAAAAACACCATCCTTCCCAAGTTGTGGGAGAAATCAGATATGAACATGCATTCAAAGATTAACCAGTTGTTGAACATCATGGAAATGTAAATCCGCATCAAAAATCCACATCATGGAAATGTAAATCCACAGTGAGATACCACTTCACTCCGACCAGGATGGCTAAAATTAAAAAGACAGACAATAACAATAGTTGACACAGAAGTGGAGAAATTAAAACCCTTGTACATTACTGGTGGGAACGGAAAATGGTTCAGCTGCTGTTGTGGAAAACAGTCTCGTAGACCCTCAAAAGATTAAGCAAAGAGTTACCATGTAATCCAGAAACTTCATTCCTAGGTGAAATGAAAACATAGGTCCAACCAGAAATGTGTGTACAAATGTCCATAGCATCATTATTTATGATAACCAACAAGGGAGAAACAAGCCAACATTACATGTCCATGAAATGTAGCAAGTCCATACAGAGGAAGATTGTTCAACATAACAGAGGAGAAAACCCTGACACTAGCTACAAAAGGGATGAACCTTGAAAACATGATGCTCAGTGAAAGAAACCAGTCACAAAAGACCACATGTGGAGTGATTCCATTTACATGAAATATCCAGAATAGGCAAATCCATAGAAAGTAGATTAGTGGTTTCAAGGGGTTCAAGAGAGGGAAATGCGGAGTGACAGATAAAAAGTATGGGATTTCTTTGGGAGGACTTATGAAAATGTTCTAAATTGATATTGATGGTTGCCCAATTCTGTGAATGTACTAATGTACAAAGAACCTCTAAATGGTAAATTTTAAATAGGTGAATTGTATGGTATTTAATTAGCTCTCAATAAAGTTGTTGTTGAAAAATTAAATGACTATAACTACCCGGGACAACAAAGAATTGCTTTAATTTTTAATCTCCAGTGACTCTAACTCAAGTCATTAAAGCTATAGTGGTGGTGGTCATTGCTGAGTTGCTCAGTCATCTCCGACTCTTTGCTACCCCATGGACTGCAGCCCACCAGGCTCCTCTGTCCACGGGATCTCCCAGGCAAGGATACTGGAGTGGATTGCCATTTCCTTCTCCTCATTAAAGCCGTATGTGTCCCTATTAGTATAAGACAATAGAGCAATTTACTGCAGGGACAGAAAATACCCAGAGGATGTTAGAAGTAGTGCCAGCAATATATGTAGGACCCTGCACTGGTTTTTAATACCTCTGGGTGGGAAACTTAAGGATGCTTCAGGCCCTCAGTAAGTGGCAGCTGGTTAACCATCACTCCACACACAGATAGGGAAGGACCACGGGGATTGGGGAGGAGGGCAGTCCTGGTGACAGCCAACACACTCTATGTGAAGCACCTGGCCATGTTCTGGCAGACACGTTCTCTCTCTCTTTTTTAAATTATTTACTTGATTTTTGGTTACATTCCGTCTTCATTGCTTTGCACGGGCTTTCTCTAGTTGTGGTGACCAGGGGCTACTCTCTAGTTGCAGTGCTCAGGCTTCTCATTGCAGTGGCTTCTATCGTTGCAGACACAGACTTAGGCCCACGGGCTCAGTAGTTGCAGTTCTGAGGCTCTAAAGCTGGGGTTCTGTAATTGTGGCACTCGAGCTTAGTTGCCCTGGGGCATGTGAAATCTTCCCAGACCAGGGATCGAACCCGTATTCCCTGCACTGGCAGGCGGATTCTTATCTACTATACCACTAGGGAAGTCCTCTCTTGATGAATTCTAAAACTAATCCCAGAGGAAGTAGATAAACAAAATGGCCCATGCTCATTTTTGTGATGAGCAAAATTCAAGATTCACACAGAATGAGTGGTAAGGGGTAACTGAGATTTCAATCCAGCAATTAAAAGCAAACTTTATGCTGTAACTATGTTATAGTTTCTCCACTTCTGTTTTTTCAAAAACATACCTAATGAAGCAGGTGAATGTGACTTAAATAAGAAACAATGAAACAATGTCCATGCGGTGAACAATGTCCATGCGGTGACAACCCCGAGGAGGCTTGCTAAAGACGGTTTTCTTCATTCACTCCTGCAGCACCTATCTGCTGAAAAACCTGTTTCCACTGTTCCAATGACTGGATATGCTTAAAAGAATAGGATACAGGCTGTCCTGGGTCTCAGAGACTATAGTTGCTATTAACTACTCAAATCAACTGAAGGTATAACTGAGGAGGATATCTCAGTTAGTTAAGGACAGCATGAAAGGCTAGAAGAAATCATAAAAAAACAAGCTACTTGACTAAGCCCAGGACAGTCAAGGAGGGCTTCCCAGAGGAGGTGACACCAGGATTAAAACCTACACAAACAGAGCAATAAGAATTATTCTGTTCTGCGTACTTCATTGGAAGGTCAAGAGTGACAGCAAGCTACAGCCCATCGCTGTAGGTCACCAGGGTGTGTAGGGTCTAAAATAGCCTTCTCTGACAAAAACATGATAG